TAAGTTCTCTTGTCTCGATATAGTAAGTCAATTTTTTTAATTCGATAAAGGAGAGTAAGAATTATTGATTTTATTTTGACACTGTCTTATTTTTATACTAAATGAGGTTGTGAGAAGTATAAATGCGTCAAGAATATTTGTTGTCTCGGTGTCAGTAACAGAAATCCTTTCTGAGGGTGTAAGTACAGTTACAGCTTTTTCGCTAAACATGTAACTAGTTACAGTTCGTTACTTTACAGTTACTTTCTTGCAATGAAAATAAAAATATCAAATCTGCATTTGAATTGTAGAGCGTCGATAAAGGCGTTTGTGCGCAAATGCAAGGCCCAATGCGATCCGTGGAGGTTTAAAAAATGTATAAAGTAACTATTAATGTAACTGACAATCAAGTTACAGTTATAGATGAAAAGAAAGTAACGAAGTTAAGTTAGAGTTACCAAAAAAAGTAACTATAACTTCGTTATAAAGAACGAGTTACTTCCAACCCTGCATATGTATATTACATTAATAAAACTACAATAACGCTTAGTATCTTTTCTTTAAAAAAATAGAGAGGCAACTAGTCGTAAGATAAACTGGAGAATGAGTAATTGAATAACTTCGTCTTTAATTTCCAACGTAGATATTATATTAACCGATCAAGATATGAATGAAGAAATATTTTATTAAAAAAGAAAATGAATTCGTGTGTGCGAACTTGATCTTTAATTTTACGTTTTAATTAGATGAGATTGTACCAAGAGATTAGGAATGGATTGTTAGGAAGAAACATCTCAGCAGTACAGTAAAAGTTACAAGGCAGAACGATTTGAAGTTTCGTAATCGAGGATGCCTGGGTTTTCGTCAACTTAAAAGAGATCGTTCCGAAAGCGTTAATATCTTTGTCGTTATTTATTTTCACGGATACTCGTCAAACTAACGATTTTAACGAGACTGTCACCGCGCCTTTGTCCGCATTTCAGTGATCCCTACGCGCCTTTACACATCAGCACATATGGTCGACCATAATTTCCGTCAAAGTGCGCCGCCTCATGAACGAAAAGTGGCACAAACGCGGCCCGTTTTTGATTTATAACATCGAGAGCGGTCCTAGTTACAGCTGAAAACGTATATCCGGGACCGCCGAGGTATCTGGGACGGGAGTGTGTGCGACTAGCTGCCATAAAGAATTCCTGGCTTTGAAAGTGGCCGCGACGCAAAACTTATATCTGCTAGATGACTTTTATTAGAGCCCTCCCCGTGCCCTTCGCTCGAAGGAAACGATTTAACGATATGCCCGACGTTACAATATATTATATGTAGAATTTTATTGTGAGAGGCAAACTAAATACAAATGGGATTATCTCCCTGCGAGTTATCATAAAAGAAAAGCTTTGCTTTCAAAAAGTTCGCCGCGACGGTGAGACTTGCACTTGCCAGACGATTCTCGTCAGCATTTT